AAGACAAATCAAAACCACAATGAAATACCATCTAATCCCAGTCAGATTGGCTGATTAAAAAAATAAAGAATCACAATTGCTGGTGAGTCTGTAGTGAAAAGGGAACCCTCTTATACTGTTGGTAAGAACTTAAATTAGTACAGCCACAGTAGATCTTCAAACACCTACAAATAGAACTAGCATACAACCCAGTATTACCACTCTGGGGTATTTATTCAAATGACAGGAAAACATTCAGTTGGTAAAACACTTGCACATCCATATTTATGCAGCATTATTCACAATCACTAAGACAAGGAATCAACCTAAATCCCTATGACAGATAACAGGATTGAAAAAATATGGCACATAAACGCTATGGAATACTTCTCAGCCATAAAAAAGAATTAGATCAGTCATTTGATATATGAATTTAGAAGATTTAATGCTAAGCAAAGCAAGCCAGATTATGAAAGATAAACACTGCAAATCCTTGCTCAATATACCCTGAATGTGTACACTCTATGGCAGAAATGGAAAGATCAAAGACATAATAGCAGGGAGGGAAAGTGTAGATACCAGAGAGTGTGTAAGAGGTGATGGACAGTCGTGGGTGGGAGGCAGGGTTTCAGGGAAAATAGATTTAGCAGATATATCAATGTAAAGTTATCTGTTGAGAATATATATGGTAATATCCTTGATTTGACTGAAACAAATGCATGAATACTTAGAAAAACATATTGTACATTGTAAAGAGGTGCAATGATTAAATGTAAATTACAAAAATGTTGACTTCTGTCTGCTAATTCTAGCACCTATAGGTTAACTGCAATTGACATTCAGATTCCGTCCAGTTCTAACATTCTTTTATAAAACTCTCCAAAGAATGTTTATTTATTTGATTTGTGACTTTTCTGATTTTGATAAAAATATTGAGATTAAATGACCTCCAGGACCAAAAGTGGCCCAGTGGCACTCAACTGAACCCAGAGGAGAAGGTCCTTATTTCAGACCAAGAGGCCTCTCTCATAATCCCAAATATATGTATATATGCCTGAGATCTGTTGGTGGAGGTTTGGGATTGATCCAAGTGTGAGAAGCCTGTTAAAGATACTGTTTTTCTGTCCCTCTCAGTCTCTTTCTTTCCTAGAAGAAAAACATATATAAATAAACTTGATAAAACAACCTCCATATAAACATGAGAATAACCCACATTCATTTTTTTTTTTTTGGAGAGGTTTTTGCTATAGGGTGCGTGCACTCGCCAGACAGACAGATAGAAAGCGAGAAATCACCCCCCAGGGGGGATGGCCATGCCTCAATCCCTTCTCCTCCATTCTCCTCTCGGGATCTTGGGCACGCACGCACATGCAAACGGCGTGAGTTTAAGCCACCGGGTCCGGGACTCGAACCGCGGTCGACTACGTGGGAGTCCAGTGACATAGCCATTACGCTAACTGCTGGTCCCATAACCCACATTCATTTCTACATTAAAATTATTAACATCATATATTTAAATGACCTTATAGAAGTTGCTTATATTTTTAAAAGTTACTTATTTAAAGGCAGCATTACAAAGCACTGGATGGTTAAATCATGTAAGATGTGAAATGAAAACAGGATTTCAGCTATGGTATGGAGAATATATATATGACTGCTAATACATCTATGTGTGATTAACTAAAATTTTACTACCATTATAGTCTTAATGCACTTAAGTTACTTCCAGTATAACTATGTATATCTATGAATGGACTGTGCAAGGATTTAAATGTGAAAAAAATTTAAATGTAGAGAAGTCCATCCCTTTCGACTTCTCATTTATTGCCAAATTCACACTCTCACTATCTTTCTCTGGCTTCTTGATGCCTTCATAAGTAATTTTATGACAGAATTTATCTCATATTTAAAAGTATGTGTACAGTATCCCCAACTTGACTGGTCTGAAATGTATTAATGTTGGAAAATTCACTTTACAAGCTAAGTGATGTATAATTATTGAATGCATAAAAGAAATTAAAATAAAATATATCCCAAAAATATTTTATATATTACCATTCATGTTGTTTATCTAAAATATGGCTAAAATCCTGTCATTCAACAATGTATGATTCTCTGTTGCATTCACAAAATGTTCCAACCTTAAATTCAGACTCAGATGCTTTAAATGAGGTACAGGATGTCTGCCTTTGCCAGTTTCTACCACCCAATCCACAAACTTAGTGCTGTGGTCACTCTAGATGTCTAGACTAGCAGTTCCTAACCTCTTTGGCACCAGGGACCAATTTGTGGAAAACAATTTTTCCATGGAATGGTGAAGTGGTGGGTTCAGGATGATTCAAGCATATTGCATTTATTGTGCACTTATTTCTATTATTACATTGCAATATATAATAAAATGACGATACAACTCATCATAGTGATAAATCAGTGGAGTCCTGGGCTTATTTTCCTTCAACTAGAATGCAAGTGAATTCAAATCCTGATGGGAATTATGGAGACATAACCATTGGGATTTTTGACACGTTTCAATGTGGAAATTGAAGACAATGTTGACCTGCCAGGAGGCCTAGCTCAGGCAGTAACATGAGCAATGGGGAGTGGCTGTAAATGCAGAGGAAGTTTCACTCACTCACCTGCTGCTCACCTCCTGCTGTGTAGCCTGGTATCCTTCTGTGGTCCATGGTGGGGAGGCCCCTGCACTAGAATTTGTACTCCTGGAAATTCCTGTTCCACATACCTTATGGATATCAGTCTGAGCCACCCTCTTAAGACACAACTCCTAATTCCATCCCATCTTGTCACCCCCACAGCTGCTCATCACAACTTCCCTTACCCTCCCCCCATGCTCACAGTACTTATGGAAACATGCTTCACTGATGCTTATTCATGTCTGTGTCTCTTTTTAAACAGAAGCTCATGTATGATCCTGGAATCACTAGGACATAATGATAGCTGATAGCTGCTGCCTGTAAATGCTTCACCTGCTCACACAGGTTCACCTTCACTCAGATGCTATGGTTCTGGTATTTGTTTCCACTTGAGACTTGGTGAACCAAAACAAACAAATGAACAAACAAAAAGAAAAGAAAAAAATGCCTTAAATAAAAGAGCTGCAAAAGAAGAACCTCAACTTGGAATCCATTTTCCTCTGCATCAAGTCTGAGGTTCTCAGTCTCCATACTCCCAGCTCTGCAAGAACAGAAGTCTCAGGATTTGGGTCAGGTGTCCTCACAGAGCATGGGGAGCTACAGCATGCAAGCTCTGCAGACATCTATGTGTTGTGTCATATTTTGGCTCACTGGTACATGATATGAATTCAGGGAATTGTGAACATGCTACAGAACAGATTGGGAGAAAACAGGAGACAATTTCTCTACTCAAAGTTAAGATTTCTGAAATTGGAGTCTCCTTTTATTTCTTCAGATGAGTAATGAACTGTGAGTCAGGTCCCTCATTGTAGGATACACCTCGTTCAGTCTTTTTCCTGCTAGTATCAGGATGCTTTGTTGATTTAGAAGAAATACACTCTCTCTCTCTCTCTCTCTTTATATATATATATATATATATATACACACACACACTATTACACATACAGTTCTGGCTTTGACTATGACCAGTAGGGTCAGTTTTGTGTTTTGATTGGGTTTTTGGACTTTCTACCATGCTTTGGTTTAGGCTAGTCTGTCCCCAGACAGGTATCTAACTGATTAACCTTTGTCCAGCACAGCCCGTGTGGACGACACAGGCCAGCAGCTCCCTTCAGACGCCCATCAGGCACACGCAGCTGGGAGGCAGCGGTAAGAGGTGATTCACCAGCCATGGACAGTGGAGGACCCCCGTACATACCAGGGACTGTGAGGGAGGGGAGCGGGTGTAGTGGGTGGGTGAGTGGGAAAAGGGGGGAGGCATTTCACACTCAAAAAACGTTCTCTGTTGACAAAATACTGGCGAAATTTTTTTGACAATCAAAAAAAAGTTAACCTGTCCCCATTTGCTCCTTACTGATTCAGGTGCGACCAAACTCTTCCTACCTCACAGGCATGTCACTGTGGAAGTGCTGGTCAAGGAGGTCACCCAGCCTGGCCCGGAACACAGACCACACGTATGTAGTAGTCGGGCCTTGATCATGTCTGGGCACAGCGCAGGACTTACCACTCTGAAAACGGGAGAGACTTTCAGACAGGACCGGACGGGTGGCGCTGCCCTGGGAATGAAGCCCTGGAGCTTCAGCCTGAGGCAGCCGGCAGGAACCAAGCAGGGTCCCAGCGCCGGCCTGGCCATGTGGACAGTGGTGCTGATGTCAGGTCTGAGCCTGCACAGAGAGAGCTGGGGGCGCCCTGCATGGCAGGCTCTGGAGGGGCAGCGGCACCTGCTCCAGGGATCAGCGAACCTTGTGCGGAGCCCAAGTCTGGGGCTCCCTGCAAGCACGCTCGTTCTGGGTCTTGGAATTGGTTAGGGCACCACAGCACACCTCGGGGGGACTGGGTGGGACGCGGACCAGACCGGGGTGCTGTGGGGGCAGCCACCACAGATGGGGTACACGTGGTCACTGCCAGGGAAGGGAGTAGGCAGGGAGGGGCTGGTCCTGGCCACAGCCTGTGTCATGGCAGAGGCGTACTTCTCCCTGTCTAGAGTGAGCTCTGTGCCGAGTGCCAGGACAGGGCAGGCAGGACCTTAAGCATGAAGCTTGGTCAGTAATTACTATTGTTATTGTATTTTATTTTGCCATAGGGTGTGTGCACTAGTCAGATAAAGACAGAGACAATGGGAGGGAGAGTGAGAAATCAGCCCCAGGAGGAATGTCCACACACTACAGAGTGATTTCTCAAGTCATCACGTCTGAGACTTGAACTGCAGTTGACCGTGTAGGAATCCAGCACCTTAACCACCAGGCCACCTGCTGGCCCTGCTCAGTAAATTATTACAAAATAGAAGTGTAAGAGTTGCACATGGTCACTACAGTAAGTATAGCAGGGGCTTAGAATTCGTTTATAAGTTCAGAATCTATGTGGTCTTTAAAAGCTACCGCATTGCAAAACAAATATCCACAAGTTTAGAAATAGAAATAAAATTTTAAGACACTTTCAATACTACAAACCTTCAAATTGGATATTATGTGGTAGAAAATAGTATTCATCTATGAAGCTTCAGATGAACCAATTATTAACAATATAGAAAATTTCGAATTAATTTACCTTGTAACTGGCTACATACTGATAAATGCATAGACCAGAATTTTCAGCATGCATCTACATCAGAATTTTTAGTAGGACTTCTACAAGTTACCAGAAATGTGAGATAAGTGAATATATAAGTCTTCATTTAAAAAAAATAAGTTCTAATGTGTTTATTTTCTTTTTTCTGACTTCTTAAAATTTTAATATTATAGCCACCTAGAAAGATAACTAGAATATACAACAACAAAAAATAAGTAAATGACTCATAATTTACCCAGAGATAAAGTGTTTTCAACATTTATCTTTTTCTTTGTTTTTTTTTATTTTATTTATTTTTTTGAAATATAATTCATATATTATAAAACTCACCTCTTTAAGGTATACAATTAAATTATTTTTAGTACGCATACAAACATTTTCAGTACAACTATCACTGCTATCTAATTTTAGGACTTTTTTATTTTAATTTTTTTATATAAATTAAATCATATTATTTAGTTTACAAAGTGAACATTTCAGTATGTGTGTGAAGATTTCTCCCCAGTCCAGTTGATCAGAGTGTCTTCCACCAATAACACCACATCCTCCCATCCCGTCAATGCTCTCTCTCCGTATCCCTCTTTCAAATGCCCTTCCTTATCTTTTTAAAGAAAGGTGCATATGCCTCCCCCTCGCCCCACACAGGTTCATTTTATAAATACATTTTGTTTTTTTTAATTTTGTTATTTACACCCATTTATTCTGTTTGTATGTCCTTTAGTCAACCAGTTTCAGTCATAGAGTGTGGACACTCGGTATATAAGTGGGGACATACAATGCTTCTCCTTCATAGCCTGGCTTGCCTCACTCAGCAGTAAATCTTCCATAGTCTTCTACTTTCTGTCAAAGTCCAAGATTTAATTGTGTTTTATTTATTTGTTTTTTTAATGGCTGAATAGTATTCCATAGAGTATATGTGCCTCAATTTTTCAATCCATTCATCTATTCAGGGGCATTTGGGTTGGTTCCATGCCTTAGCAATTGTGAATAGTGCCACAATAAACATTGATCTGCAAGCACTTTTCTGATTATAATTCTTCTGTCCTTTGGGTAGATACCAAGGAGTGGGATTGCTGGAGCATATGGTAGTTCTA